GACGGCTGAGCAGGCGTGCGAACCGGGGTAGGCCGGTTGTCGATAATGACCTTGTTCTTCTTTGTCTTCTTCAAACTGAGACGCGGCTTGGGGGTGGATGTCTGCGCGTTGCTTGCCTCTCCGTTCGTGGGACGCGGATCGTCGTCGGGGATTTCGTAGAGGTTTCTCGATTTCGCGATGGGAGTTTGCGGCTTCTTGATTCGCTTCAGTTTCGACTTCTGGACCGTCCGTGGTTGCTCGGCGTCCTCGTCTTCCCCGCCTCCAATAAGGTCTCGTAGTGTAGTCAGCGACTTTGGCGTACCAATCTTCCGCCGCTTAGCCGATGAGGGTGTTCCGTTAGCGTCCCTTGCAGCAGCTTTGCGTGTATGTGCGTCGCTCGACCCCGGCGCGTCCGCTTCTTGAGCGCGCTTGTGTTTCGATGCCGTATGCGAGGGTGAGGTTACAGCGTCTGCGACCATAGTTGTGTCTCCGTCCTGATCTATGTCGTCGTCTTGCATAGCGTCGCTGATAGCCCGCTCGCGCTTCGACTGCTTGCTCTGCTTGTATGTGCGTTTGCCTTTGGTTGCGCTGGACGGAATGACGTGGCTGGACATGGGTGATGAAGCAGTCGGTTGCGCGGGTCGCCCGGGAATTTGGGAGTCGGGTACCTCGACTGCGGTGGAATGGGTGAAAGCATTGGCAGCAGGCGATTCGGGCTCCGGTTGCGTCGCGGGAAAGGGAAAAGGAGATGACGCTGGAACGTCGTCCTCGGCCATCATGCGTTTGGCTGGAGAAGTCGCGACACTCTTCTTCGTCAGGCCGAGTGCGCTGTTTCGCTTGCGCTTCTTCTGGATCAGAGGAGAGGCGTCCTGGCTGCCGTCGACCTGGGAGAGGGTGCCAATGGAGCCGGCGGCGCCGATGCGCGTGCCCTTTTCGCTCATGAGTTGCTCTGACGCGGCGACGTCATCCATGTCTGGGTCTGCCACTCCAATGCGTTAGTCGTGGCTCTGGGCGGGAAGGTGGAGGTTGATGGAGCAAAAAAGTGCCCATCAAAACGCGTCGAGGCCGTCTACTCACTAAAGTGGGACCTGCGCGCCGTGGCGGGGGAAGCTACCGTCGCGGCCTCGCTGTTCGGGGCAGGTACGGGCTGAGAAGAGGAAGTACCCATCCTTCTCCTCAGATCGCTGAAGATGGCATACCCAGGGCTGGATTCGAGCATTGGCGGCGTGGTGGTCTTTTGCGGTCGCGTATTCGGTCGATAACTACAAAAAATCGACATGTCGCGCTGCGCGTGAGGTGTTTCCGGTCCCTGGCTAGCCAAACACGGGCTAGGCTATCTCCGACCCCGGTTCACTGACACCCAGCGGTCCTCCCCACTCCCCGCTCACTCCTCTCGTCCCGTGTGAGGTTCGCATATCCCGGAATGGCTTCAAGCCATAGCTATTCCACGGCGCTAGCGCTTTTCCTCACGTTCCAACAATAACGGCATCGATCGCACTGTACACGCGAAGCCATGGCCCAGCCGGATGTTTTCCAAGATGACGAGAGACTGCCTCCTTGAGCACGTGAAAGTCGAGGCAAAGACGCGGATCCAAATCATCAATCACATGTGCGAGTCAAGAAGCTGCTCTATTCTCCGTTGTTTATGTGGTAGCAAACCATCTCAATTTGAAGGTCGTTCATGAATCATGACTTATCAACAGCATACCCACGATAGGCACTGAGCAATCCGAAGACAGCACAGAACTTTGTGTCTGGTATTATAGTGATTCTGATGCCCACTCTTTATGAGATAGCTTTTCATGGAATATACCCACCTTCTCTCACCTCGTCGCCCAATTGTTCGATGAACCACATCATTGAACCCGGTACATGTAGTTTGGAGCAACTTCTCAGCTACTCTACTTTTATAGCCTCTTTCACTCAAACCAGAACGCCGTTTCACAGAATCAGGTCTCACTGCTCATCACACACCGGATCAGCTACATCAACTCCTCACCTCAGCTTACCGGGTTGTCAGCGAAGAGGCGTTCGAGATCCCATTTTGTCTAGGACCATTCAAGATGGGACCGCAACAGAAGCAGAGCGAAACTCACCACGCCGAACGGCAAGCCGTAGTGTCGGGCCTGGATGCAAAAATTGGCAGTCTCGACGTCGCGATCTCCAATCTGGCGGCAGAACAGCATACACTGAAACGCGCTCGAGAATACGTCCTAACCACGCATGACGGTGCGACAGGCGACTCGGTTGATCTCACTGCTTCAACAGCTTCGACCCCGCGATCATCTATGAGGCATACATGGCCTTCGTCGTTCCTTCAAGTAAAGAAAGCACGGTCAAGTCTCCGCCAGGATGTACTGATCCGCAACGCCATGGAGAGGGAAAAGAGTTCGTCACCTCCAGGATCGGTTGGCTTACTGTCAAGCGACGAGTTCGAAGCTTCTTTTCCAACCCACAACAAGCCTGGCGGTAACGACGACAGCGATGGCAGTGCTAGTGACGCTGACAATGGCGTTGGAGATGATATTAGGCCCTCCGTTGAACGCATATCTTCTTCAACAGCGGAGAACCACTCTGCACCTTCCTCAGTCACGACAGCCCATGCGATCTCGCGCAGCAGCACCCCCTCTCCGGACAATGAGATAGGCGCACTCAATATATCATCTCGCAATAGTCAAGGCGCTCATTGGCGTGCAAAACGAGTGACCAAATGCAAGAGGCAGGAGAACGCGGCCAAAGCCCGGGAAGTGCGGAGGAGGAAGCTGGCGAATTTAGCTGCAGCATGAGACGGAGACCTGGTTCGATGAGGGGTCAAAAGTGTTATGTGTGTTGAGGGGTCAGGAGTAAGGCTGGAGTTCGGCGTTGTTGTCACGAAGGAAAAGTTCGGATAGGATTTGTGTCAAAGATGATCACACGTAGTTACTGAAAAATCAAAAGCTATGTTTTCCCACACTCGAAGCCTCTACATTTACTACTATATTACAAGTCTACTAGTCGTTCTCAAATACAACAATTAATACCAAGGGTCAAGGACGAATTACCGGACTATTCGCGACGTCTACGTCTAAGGACGCCTCTCTACGCCCGCTATTCAAAGCCCGAACATTTGAGTCGCTCAACCCCCCATCCTCTAGCCTTCCAAAACAGTTCCTCATGTTACGCTCGCCATCTAGAGCGTGACACTCTGCTTAAATGATGCGGGAGCTGGTGATGCATGGAGAATACGCAATGCATTTGCAGGATTGGCCGGGTCAGTGGCTTTGCACACAATGCAGCGGCAGGCGATGCGACATGAGAACGTCAATATTGCCTGGGAGCAACTCTCATGCACTGGACGTGTAAAACAAGCACTGCGCTTTCTCGTCGCAAGGATAACAGAATCGTTTCCTTCGCGCTGAAAGTCTCGTGTAATCTTGTCGCCGACTATCTGGCGTTGTACTGGCAGGCAGGGCAACTTTGTCGCACGCGAACATTGGCCACAGGCGCCGCCTCGCTCTGCGCGAACACTGGCAAGCCATGCAGTTTACCATTTAATCACAGTAGACTTAGTAGCGCTCAATAGACGGTCGATCACAGTAGTATTAAGTGTGACACGCATCGCTCTGAGCTCTTCTGCCTTCCTCATCAACGCCGTCGACGTGCGCCGGAAAGCGCGACGTGATGCGACACGCAGCTTCTTCCGTTCACACCACCACCATCCCACCCACCAACACCACAAAAGTTTTCTTCCTCAACCGACGAGCAAGCCCATCTTGTCAATGAAAAAAAGGTACAACCTGTCAGATTGCCATCAACGTCCTGCCTCCCAGCGCAACACGAAGTCGCAGACCAGTCAGCTGAAGATCATCGCCACGAGCGCCGAAGCACCACGTAAAAAAAGCCTCACTCCGGGACATCGAGGCTGATAGTCATCAACCAGGGTGGAGATTCTGTGGCTACTTAGAGTAACTCAGAAGAGGATGCATACTATTAGAAATGATTCTATGAAGTATGATCGACATGATGAGCAGAAGGAGGGACGGAGGGAGGGCGGTTTATATAGGCAGAGGGAGGGAGGGCATGGGCCAGGAGGGCACGTGATGGCTAGGCGGAAGGGAGGTAGTGGGAAGGAGGGATTTTTCACAAGATCCACTGTGTAGGGCCGATGTTGCCCGAATGGCCTATCGTGGGGGCTGGGAAGTGAAATTTTTGAGGGTGGGTGGAGGTGTGGGATCATAGCGTTCGGCCTGCGGTGTGCGTGCGGGCGGATTTTACCACTGTGACGCGTGTGAATGGTTGTTGTGTTGGTTTTGCGGAGTCTGTACCACGGCGAAAAGGGCGGTCGAATCAGGTTGGGTCAGGGGCGGTGGATAGCCGGCGGGTCGCGACTTCGAAGCGCGAGAACACGGGAATACGAAGATATCGTTGGGTCAGGTCGCGTCGACTTGCTGACGATGGACTACGATGGCGACGAGGACTTTCGTGTGTCTAGGTCGATGAGCTATCATTTTACGATATCTCGTCGTGATGTTACACGTCCACGGGTCGTGGGCAGCGTCGAGCGTACTGCCGCCGATCGCAAGTCCGTTACGCCTGGTGGGGAGGCTACTTTCAACGGCTTGAGCTAGTCCATCACCACAGCACCATAGAGCAAACTTCACTTGGACAGTGGAGAGTGAACCACAATGCTCGTATTTCTCTGTTTATTGCCTGGGTTATCTTCAGACCAATGGTCGCAACTGCTGCGACGTTCAGCCTCACCTATCCCTCGTACACGCTAGAGATTGCAGTGCAGAGGCCTTACGCTGTAAGGATCCAACCGATCCATTCGGTTCCAACCGTGCGATAGGTCAACCAGCAGTCTAAGCAAGAGATGCTCAATCGACCCTTCCGCTCCTGCGTTTCCAAGACTTCTGGCTGACCTTGGGTGCCTCTTCTTCCTCCTCACTGTCCTCAACAACCAGCTTCTGCCCCACAGTCCTCCCATCAAACCGCTGGCGTCGCTCACTGACATGAACATCCACATCCCGCCCCCGCTTCCTTTACCCCTTGACAAGCCACTCGCCAAACTTATACAAACAAGCCAACCGCCCCTCCCCTCCCTGCAGATGATTCACACCTTCAAGATACACTTTTTTGACCCCGCAATGCTCAAGCATCGGTCTGAATCCGAAGGCATCCAGAAAATCTTCTAGTTCGCGAGGTCTCTGGTACTGCGCGTACGCTCTATCGACGAGCTGGATCCAGTGGAATGACATGGCGATGGTGTCGAGCTGGGTGCACTTGAGCATTAGAGGGATGTCGAGGTTGCCGTCGATGTCATAGTTGGCCCGGGTATACGGTATGTACTTTACGTGGGGGAAGTTGATGCGCTTGATGGCTGCGAATCCCTGGGTGGTAGCTACGCCATCGATGGTGACCGCGGGGAACGTAGAAAGGTAGTCTGCGAACCAGCGGGCGATTTTGAAGGGCTTCTTTGCATCGTATTTGAAGTCGAACCACTCGGTTGTTGAGAGCATGAAGAGGGTGACTTCGCTCAGGAGCTGCTTGTTTGTGAAGGCGAGAGCTGGGAGCCACGGCGCGACTATCGCGGTCGTCAGCTCGTTGTCAGCCTCTCGATCGCAGATGATGAGGTCTTCTGGCCAGCGCCAGGTGCAACACGGATTGTTGTAATTGTCGACATGGAGATGCTTTGCTAGACTCGAGGTGTTGCGCGCATTCTCCAAATAGGCCTCGAAGACGTCGCAACAAGGCTTGCGGTATCTGAGGTGGCTATGATTCGCCAGCGTTGAGTCATTGTGCGCTGTCTCGAGTTGCAAGTAGGCTGCGAAGATCTTGAGACGTAGTTCGGCGGGTAGGAGGAGGAATCTGGTGAACTTTGGCTCATGGACGGATGCCGCTTCATGACTGGCGACTTCGGGGATGGGGGCAGCCTCCGTCATTGTCGCGTTGCGAAGTGTCTACTTCTCTCGTGCTTAGGGTGACCGGCGTGACGACATGGAGGTTTCGATATCCCCGCGCGGGTTGCCTGACGCCCTGCTTACATGGCGGAGTCCTGAACATCACGTGATGCTTTCATCTGTGTAAGCCTGTAGTCTTCCAGGCTTCGCGCTCGAACTTGAAGACTTTTCGCGATGGACTTTGGGTGTGTACATTGGTGGGTTGGTAAGTCGATGACGACGGTTTGCCAGGGTCCGTCGAATGGTCGTTTCCATACTCAACCACGGAAGCCTCCGGTATCGAGGTAAATTCACTCGAGCTGCTGCGAATTTATCTATCTTGCTGCCTAGACTAAAGCTGTTGGCGCACAATCTCCATAAGTATACTTTTAAGCGCATGCAAGTTAACTGTATTGTTCACGCTTACCACCGCCGTATGTCAACCCATTGATCTCCGCCAATTCTTACAGAACCGGATCTTGACGAATCAAAATACCGAAGTACATCGGTTCCATAGCAGCAGTATGTTTCGAGAATTAGAACGCTCGAGGCTTTGACTAAACAAGCACTTCAGGTCAACATGCCCGGCGAGAACGCGCACCTTGTCGACGAAGTCACAGCCTTTGAGGCTCTCACCCAATACCCGGAAACCTCTGCAGAGGAAGAGTTCGCCAACATAGCGGCAGCGTGCGTTTCATACCTCGGAGACGACCGCAAATTTAGTTTCGAGCGCTTCGTACCGGGCTGGCAAAAGGATGTTCTAAAGACTCTCAAGCTACTTTACAAGTACAAGGGCTATGTGTCGATTTGCGACGCTGTCTTTTTCCACATGGCAAGCTGGTATGACGCATTCCTACTTCCGTTTGATGACCATAAGCGTGTGGGCTGGTACGATTGTAGCTGCTGTATGGTGGATCAAAATACGACCGATATCCTTGTATCGCGCGACGTCCCGACCGCGGTGACATACATGCACCAGACTACCGGCAATCTAGTGTGCATCGAGCAGCTGGCATTCTGTGATCTCGCAGAGGTCGCAACAGAGTACTTAGCTTTCACCAACGATTTCGATATATGGCCAGACGAGAAGGTGGCTGTTTTTCGGGAGTTCTCAGGTCCTGTCGTCGAGTGGCTCCACTATGAGAACGGCATTGAGCGAATCGAGTGGACAGCTTTCAAGGATGTCGCCGCGGCAGTGACGGGATATCTATCCTATGAGCCGCCACCATACTTCCCTCACTTCTTACAACTACCGGCCGAACTTCGAAAGATGGTTTACCATTACTATCTTCGCGAAGATGAAACTGTATGGCCGGATCTATTAGATTTTCAAGCGAATGGTTGGGATTGTTCTTCCGGATGGGATTGGTCTCCCGAATGGAACTGTTGTCGATGGAGATACCCAGCCTCTTTGACGCTTTGTGACAAGAGCGAGAGGACTCTGTTCTCGAACCCGCAACGTCCCAGCCAAATCTCAAGTTCGCTCCCTGCTCTAGCCTTCGTATGCGGACAGTTGCAAGGCGAGGTTGCTGTTTACGCGCTTCAGCATACGCAGCAGGTCGTCCTCAAATTTGAGGCGGGTAACCAAAACTACGACTGTGGCGCGTGGTTCTACGACGCATTGGCCGCAATTCCTTATGGTGATGGCTTGCGGGCGGTAAAGAACCTAGTCATTCGTCTTGGAGACGTGTCTCACCTCTCTCAGGCGTCACTCGTTCCAAAAAGCCCCATGGTAGAGCTTGCAGTTGCCTGCGTCTTCCTCCGAGAGATTGAATTGACGGTGCCTACCCGAGAGCTGTTTAGCATTGATTTCCGAACAGGCCTGCGTACTCTACGGTCTGTAGATACGCTGATAGACCTATTCGCACTCCGACCTCTGCTCAATTGTGAGCGCTTGTGCCGGGTCCGCATTAACTGCGTAGACAGATATCTTATAACTTGTTATCCTCGGTGTGGATCGGACGCGATTTTCAGTTTAGGGAAGTGGTTGATGATGGGCTTTTTGGTTCAGCAAGAGCGGCGAGTTCAGGTGATTGTCACCGATCTCCATGACGGCCGGCCTTCAGAAACAGTCGTCACTCTAGATGAGGCAGATGAAAAAGAGGTGGATGAGTGGCCCAAGGCGAAGAAAGCGAAGGCCTCCCTCAAGCGGACAGGAGCGCGACGAGAGCTCAGCATTTTTCCATCCTTCTTGCATGAGAAAGGGTAGAAAGGCATTGCTAAGAGCAACCTTGGACGTCACAGCGGACTGGCCTGAATCCTTACAACATCTCATCAGTAGCTAAAGACACCAGAAAGGACTTAATGGATGCAAAATTGCCACACTAAGCTCGTTGCCATCCCAGACTGCACCCACATAACACAAACCTGCCTACGCAAAGCTCTCAGCGTCCCTCTCCCACTCAAACTCATCTTCATTTTTCCAATAACTAGTCCCACTCTTCCTAAACCCCATCTTCTCCAGCACTCTTCCACTCCTCGCATTGGGCTTTTCTGTCTCAGCGATGAACCTCCTTACACCCTGCTCCGCCGCCGCCCACTGCATGACCGCTTCCGCCGCCTCGCGAGCTACACCCTGGCCCCAATAAGCCGGCGCAACACCGTAGAGCATTTCGACCATCTCTTCCCATGGTGGTAGCGGATCGTCCGAATCGTCGCGTGGAGGAAGAGAAGTGGTAGTTGCATCCCGGACGCCTGCGTAGCCTAGCCATTCGATGGAGTTGAGTATTTGACACACGTTATCCATCTCACCGCCATCGATGATTCGGACTTTCTCACTAGCATCCTTCAAAGACCGACCCATATCATCGCTGACTTGCTCTTTCGGTCGCCAGCCAACTGCGAAAGTGCCCATTCCTCTCTTCTCCCAACACTGTGCAATGTCTCGTGTAGCGATCGACTTATGCATTTCTTCTTGCGTGCGCTTCACTACGGGAAATTTATCGCCGAAGCCCATCTCGCAAAATGAAGGATCAGCGAGGAGGTTCGCGAAAAGAGTGACATAAGCCGGTATCGAGATAGCCAATGGCGTAGGTACAATGATGAGTCGAGGTGTGACAAGGGCGAACCGCGAAAACGGTATTGAGAACTGTCGGGAAGTCATCTTGAGGTGTGTAGGATTGCGAGGACGAATGGACAGTCTTGCGAATACTTGTACACTTGGTAAGACGATAGAAGAGATGACTCGGAGGGTCTTCCGCCGCAAGAAGAAGCCACTAAGTGTGATCAAGCCTAGCGCCATATGACTCAAAATGATGGCCTGGGAGAAGCACCGGATGATATCCTCCTCTCATACAAGAAAAAAACTGAACAGATCTAGAGCCTACATCATCGTCAAGTCACCTATCTTGTAGGTTTCTAAGTTGATGTAGGCTGCAGGCCTGTTCAGTTTTTTTCTTGGTTGGCGTGTCCTTATCTTCTAATCTAGGCTGTCTTGTTCGCCTTCATTGGCTCGATTTGAAACGGCGAGAAATGCTTCCCGCGCATGCTGTCCCAGCTCTCTACCAACGCTTCACACCTCCGCCAGCTATTGTCCACGACTTTCTCGTGCTCTTCCACCGTCCTTTGCACCCAGCCATCCCTCTCGTCTGCCACCATCACCACTTCGTCGCCTTTACCGGTATATTTGTATTCTTTCCACGGTGTTTCTCCATTCGCGAAGCTGTTCCAAGTTCGTGCGTGTTGGGTAGAGATGTCCTTGAGTCTTTGTGACGGGTAGCGGAATTGGTACGTTTTGAACACGTAGTAGACGTCGACCCAGTGATGCGCTTGCTGCCAGAAGGGACTGGTGGCGAAAGGATTGCGGACGTCGAACACGTACCGATAGACCTTCTTATTCGTATGCTGGGTGAGATATTGTGCTAAATGGTGAGTCGGCGCTACAACTATTAGCTATGCATACTGCATAATGCGGAATGTCTCACCATCGAAAACGACGTCGCCTACCCAACGTGCGCCTGCATTCATGAAAACGTTCTTGTCCATTCCCGGCGAGATTCCGTAAGCTTGCTCGACGATGTCCGCGCTTTTCTCGCCTAGCTGTTTTGCGATGCCTTTGAGGAAAGCGTCCGGGCTGACAGCAGCCACCTCTGACATCAACGTAACGCCCTGTGTGTTTGGATAAGCTTCTCAATTTGGACGTATGATTGGAAGCATCGACTTACCTCGAAGCCTGTAGTGCCCAAGATAATCTCATTCACCCACTCGCATTTGCCAAGCAACTCGGGGATGCGGTCCCATGTCACCGAACCCGCTTCATCACCAAACCATTCGGAATCTTGAACCAAAAGCCACATATTGCCAGCCGCTCGATGCGCGGCGGATGCTTCGACAATCTTTTGCACGTCCACCTGACGTAATTTCTCCAGACCTGCCTCGCCTTCTTCTTCAATCCCAACTCTTCTCAAGAAGCTGTCGTATGTCTTGGTTGCGCTTTCGGGTGATAGCGGTGCTGTCGTCGGCCCAATAATGCCAGACATGAGAATTGCTCTTTGGAACAGCGGACCCGAAGACAGAGGTTGGCGTAGCATATGTGCGCATATTGACATGGAGCCAGCGGACTCTCCAAACGCAGTAACTTTCTTCCTGTCTCCTCCGAAGCCCTCGATGAACTTTTGGATCCAGAGAAGCGCATTTCGTTGATCGTTTAGTGCAAGATTTGCATTTCCAGCCTCCGGAGTATGTAGATAGCCAAGCGCCCCCAAACGATATTGTATGCTCGCGGCGATGATAGGTTGGCCATCGAGGATCGACTGCTCGACCATGAGAGACGTGTTGTGCTGCTCGTCAATCTTTCCGAGCACAAAGCCTCCCCCGTGGATGTAGACCGATACAGGGAGTCTTGAAGAAGGTGGCTGCTGCTTAAGGCACGAAAGCGGTACATTCACCTGGAGGATAGTACATTTCAACTCGTCTGTTGCGTGTGGAAAGACCTCGTCAGGGAAGTTACCGCCGCCAACTGTGTCGACACCAAAGACTTGAGGGCATGCATAGCTGCGGGTATTAGCTTTTCTTCACAGGGAAGCATTAAGGCAAGTCAAACCCATGTTGCGTGAAGTCTTTCTTGCCCGCAAGCGTATCTGAGAGAACAGACTGCTTGAAGCGAGCGGGAATGGTAGCGTATGGCACGGCGCGAAACTGAACAACGTTGTTGGGCGTGACGATGCCTGTCATAGGACCTAGGTCGGCATGATCAAATGTGAAGGTCTGCGGTGCCTGCTGTTGTGAACCCATGTTTTCTTTTCGATGGTTCTGCCACGCTATCGAGGAACTGCGAAGACATGCACGGGATATATAAGATACCAGCGGTGTACGCAGACGACGCGGGGAACAATGCCATTTCTAGACAGCCTTGTCTCTACCGGGAAGTGGGGACTAGGCCCGGCGAACCGGTCGGACGCCTAAGAAACATCCGATCCGTTTACAGAAATGCTGGCTGTTGATGCCTACAACGCTGCCGTGAGCTCTGTCATACGTAAGATCTAGGATGGGTGGTGTGTCTGACAACGGACAAAATGCGCATCTCTTGCAGGTGTAGTAGCTGGAAAGTGCGATATGTAGAGGCGCCTTTTGAGATTGTGACTGCAAGTAAGCTTTAGCCTTTCGGGCTCAGAATGACTGCCGACATCTTTGGTGGAGTAGCGGCGGGGTTATTCGTCGGCACATCAACGCGCGAGACCGATCACAATCGGTTGTAAGAGAAGACCGAGAAGCGAGCCAATCAAGATGCTATTGACGTGGTTTATCTCGCGATGAGTTGCATAACGAAGCTGGTGTTGCAGTCTGGCGTTCGTGAATCGGTCATGGTGATGACGTGAACGACAGCAGGAAGAATGCCCGGTGGTTGGTATTCGCGCTAGGTCGAATGGATGCTAGTCGTTTCTCCAATTTCTCCATCTCAGACGCGTCGCGCAGCTTTCGACGCGTCTGGCCTTCGCGACTAGCAGCGAGTTTAAACAATAGAAACGTAATACTTTGTTTCGAAAACGGTACCCAGCGCTAAGATGGCCAGTACCCGCAGGACAATTCGACAAGTGGACCTCGGGACGCCATGACCCAGCCACAAAACTCTGCACGCCTCATTCGTACCTTGTCGTCTTGTTATGCACCGGCCCTGAACAACAACACTGCCCTGCAATACCGCACGCTGACGTCGAAGCTCCATGAAAGGCACATCAGAAGTCGAATTTGAAAGACTGAACGCCTCTAATGTCAATGTCTCACTCCCGAGCCTACCCAGGTGACATCCACACCGCAAGATTACGAAAGGGCAACCTCCGCACGTATGTAGTGTAAGCTGGTCCGACTACTATGTCGTGACGACTGCAGATTTCCTCTGCTGTGATCCCAAGCGCTTACCTTCGATGTTTTTCATGTTTTACAGCTCAGCCCTTTTCTTGGTTTTCGCTGCATCTTCTCTCTTCGCTCAGGCCGCTGCAGAATGTACTCGGTTCTCCACCAATGGCTCGACGGCATCAACGTACGACTTCCATCGCTTCTACGACTTTAGGCAGCTTCACGATGACATCGACGGCGATGCGGCTTCTGCCTCGTCGTACGGAGAGGGTCACACGGACATGGAAGCAGCCAGCGGCCAGTCCAAGATCATTCAGGCTGCTCCTTGGGTTTCGGGCTGGAATGCGAGAGATTGGTATAGACCGTCGCCAAGGGATGATACGGTTGACATGTTCTATAAACCATCTCGTGTATCAATAAGTAAGCTGGAGCTGATGTTGCGTCTACCCATTGCTAACCACCCACAGGCAGGAATACCGATGCGTCGCAGGATTCTACCTATCTTACCTTGCACACGACAAGACTCTCGGATGGAAGCCAGGTGGCTGCTGAACTAGACTTTGCAGAATACAATGTCACCTACGCCTCTATCCGCATGTCCGCACGCATCAATGGAGCCAGCGGCGCAGTCGCGGCCTTCTTCACATACCACGATGACACGTCCGAGTCGGATATAGAGATACCAACAGGTTTAAAGGCTGACGAAGTGCACTACTCCAACCAGCCTACCACCGACCCTGATACGGATTTACCCGTCGACGGTGCAACATTCAATGTGTCAATGGAGGACTACCAACCTACCTCGGACTGGAATAACTACAGGTTGGACTGGGTACCCGGGAGAAGCGCGTGGTACATGAACGGTGCGCAATCGGCTGATACCGAAGTTAACGTGCCCGACGCAGAGAGCATGATTATCTTGAGCCTTTGGAGTAATGGCGGCACCTTCTCGGGGCGTATGGATACCGGACAAGAGGCCTGGTTTGACATTCAATGGGTTGAGCTGCTCTTCAACACGAGTGCTAGCGTTAGCACTAATACAGATGGGACTGTATGCTCGGTAGAGTCGTCGCCAGGCTCGCCGGTACCCAGTGGTTCGCGTAGCTTCCAGGATCTGGTTGCTGGGGGTATCTGGTGGGCCGTTAGCATGGCTTCAGCTGTTAGCTTTCTGGTTTTCGTATAACAACGCGAAGTATTTGTAAAAAATGAATCTATCTAAATCACTTGCTAGAGGATGCACTGCACCGCCAGATGATCTCTGGGACGAGCAAGACCATGATGCGTTGGTTGCTGAGATCGACGTTTCGGAGTTCTTGCCGCACCGTCTGAACATGGATTATAGGTGCGGAAGCGTCAGTATCGACGGCAAGAGGCACCCGACAGAGGGCTCGTTGTTGTTTCCCATGAGAGCAGTTGGAAGGGTATTTTCTCTTGTGCCTGGCGTCATACAGCGTTCGGAGTGGCTCGCCGTGGACTTCATACCCCCGGATTTCATTAAGCGCACGGACCTTTGATCCATGGCGCCTTCCAGGACTACGCATTGCTTGCGGGGAAACTGCGGAGGGCCGTCTAGGGAAGTCGCCGTGCGCGAAGCGGAAGTCATGTCAAACGGAAAGCACATCTTGAATTCCTCTTTCCAAACGTCGCAGTCCTACCTTCCACCCCTACGAAATTTCTTTTGACTCTTATCCACGTCACTCAGTCATAGACTCCCTCAAGCACAGCATCGAGACACCACCCACTATGCGCATTCCCGCTACTGCCATGATGCTCAGCATTCTCATGCTACTGATCCTTTGCATCCAAGATATCGCCGCCTTGCCAGCCGAAGCGTCCGACAATTTGTGGAAGCATATGACCGTACGTCGCTTCCGTCCGGATCACAAGGGTCAGGTACTGACAGATTTTCCTCTAGATCCAAGTCTGTAACGTGGCCAACTTCAAAGGAGCCTGCCGTTACTTCGACGTTATGGTGGACGAGTGTCGCGACATCAGCAGTGATTAGTACGTATAGATTATGTTGTCTCCAGATATGAAGCTTGCGCTAACACATGCGCCTCAGCTCCAGAGAGATAAGCTCAGTTCGCGCCGTGACCCACATGGGCTGCTGTCAACTGTATCGGTATGCTCATTCCTTGCTACCTTCTCTATGGTCTGACCACACACTCACAAACGCTAATTGTAGAACTCCGCGCTGCGAGGCTCTCTTCGGCGATACCGACATGGCCGTACGCTGGGGCGAAGGCGGTAAATCGACACTTTCAGATTGGACGAAGCGGGATATCAAGAGCATGAAGTGCTTTATCCTGGGCCGGCCGACCGAGATGATCGACTACTACTGAGTGAGCGTCGCGAGGAAGAACAAGGGTAGATGCGCCGGTATACAATGCGCTCGATCTAGACATGGCCTCAATACTGGAACAGTCGGTAGCTAGGAAGCTTCGCAAAAGCTATTTGTCTGAATATGAGTAAAGAGACCCGGGATTTGTTCGACATCGAGAGCGGACAATGGTACAATGGTAGTATATTATGGTCTATACAACAAAGGAAATCCGAAAGATACTCTATTTTGTCCCCCATGGAAACGTAGCGAATCGTACCGGTAGATTACATGATGTCATAGCAAAGGCCAGGGTATCGGGAGAAAGAAGAGGGCCGAGCGGTCAAACTCTGGCGGGGTATATCATGTCATGACGTCGTAGCGTGAGGGTATCGTGAAAAGAAGAGGAGGGATTGCTGGCCAAGCGCATGTACGAGGTGAAGATAAGAGAGAAAACAAGAAAGGTGGATGACGCCAACAACCGGCGCCGGGCTCGAAGGTTTACCGAAAGAAGTGAAAGGAAAGTCGAGAGGGGACGTATTGTCGATGACTGCCACTCGGATTAGAGCAGCTTGAAGTTCTTTTCTTCGCAATGGACCCCAAAAGCCTCATCGTCCATTTTACCGTAAATGTAAGCTTCGCCGACGAACAGGTACCCAAGATGCTCACCAGAGCCATTTTGAGTAGGTCGGAGGATGACGGGGACGCTGCAGCCATACAAAATGGCAATCACATCTCCCTTCTCCGTCCTAGGTGGTCCAAAGCCAACGAGTTCGTCATGGTCGAAGTCGCAAGTATTGGTGGTCGCACTACAAATGGGGTTGCCTCTGAGGAAGGATCGGTTCCAGGTGACAGCACGGACACGACAAAGGTAGTCGTACACTATGTCACGAAACCCGCTTTGAAGGTTTCGACGGTGCTGTAATATGGTGTTGATGTTGATGTGGCCATTGTTCGTTTGGAAGGATAGGCAATGTTCACATGCTGCTTTGTACCAATGAGGGGGTGGGTTGCCCTGTGGATCGCGGTCCGCGACAAGAGTTTGCCAGAGCTTGGCCGGGACCTGGGTGATCTCGGTCGCATTCTTGTCGAAAACCCAGCCTAGGCCTTCCAAGCAGTCTTTGGTGATGACACCATCGGGGAAGGGATCAGTACGGAAAGACACCGTACCTATCATAACACCCTTCACGTGCATCGACATGTCGTGCGTGACCTGGGCTGGTATGGCGGAGGCGCGATGGACAGGGCTTCGAGGGAACTTGACCTGGGCTTGTTTGCCTTGCCTGCCGCAGGCGTTGTAGTTGTTACTACCGGGTAGCCCGACAAAGCTGTCGCCAGCCTTCCGGCCGCGAAACAGATCTTCGCCCTTTCCCCAAGCTGAGTCTTCGACGAACAAGATCCAGGAAGGTAGTGGGACTAGTCGAGGAGTTGTCGGCGTTCGCTCTCGTCGTTCCTTCAACGCCCAATGGCGACAGATTATGTCGATGGATCCCGTGGTATCGACAACCCATTTGACGAAGTCCCGGTATATCTCAAAGAGGTCTTTGCTGTAGTTTGGGGCAGGCGGTGGCTTTTGCGGTCCTGCGGCACGCGGGTCGTATCTAGTAACCTCTTTAGAAATACTCCTGAAGGCATTGATGGTGTCGCGTGGATCGGACGTGTCAAAACCTGACAAAGAGCATACCAAGCTCTCTAATCCTTTCGTAGATTCCAGGGTGCCGTCCGGTCGCTTTCGGAATAACGTGGATGTCATGTCTACCAACAGCTTGGCACCGAGGTGCTCGATCTCCAGGGTTGAGTCATCGTTCAAGTGGTTTCGCTTAACCTGAGACGATTCATAATGCATCATAAGTCGCGCTTTCAGAACTTCAAAGTGTCGGTGGAAGATGGCTATGGCGGTTTGGAAATCGCTCCAGTCCCGCACATGCTTGCCACAATGAACCGAAGCGGATTGCGCAAATGCCAGCTCCTGTATGACCCAGCGCCGTGAGAACCTAGGGAAAATTAGCGGCGAAAAAAGTCTGCATTGACATACTCTCACCAGCTCCACTTGAGAAGTTCGTACAGGCTTGCCCAGTCTTCGATATACGTATCGCCAGCGAGAAGAGCCGAGTAATTATCCGGATTAACAACTACGGGGATGAAGGCCATAGCTCTGTTGGAGACGAGGTCATCGGCATTGTCGGAGCCAAGCCATACGTTGACGTTGTAGGCTTTGCGGTAGATGTGTGCCATCTTGAGCACTTGTTCTTCTTTTTCTTTGGTGTCGGACTGATTGATGCACAATGCATCCACCCAAAGCGCGATTGGCTCGTTGTCTTTCCGCAAATGTCTGAGAGCTTCGTAGAGATTTGGCTTGATCTTGATCATCTTGTCTTGCACAGCCGCTTTGAGCACATCAACTGCTTTTGTGATAGATTTGACGGGAGATGAGGCTGGGTCGTCCTGGATGACAATGGTACTATCGTCTGCACTATTGCCCCAGTTGTATGAGAGGGCACAGTAGGGGTAGTCTTCAGTTCCGAGCTGCTCATCGTTCACGACCAGTAACGTAGCGTTGACCTGCTCGTCGAAAGTGCCCGGTTTGATGATCAGGAGACGGACCTCGTCTTCAGGGATGCGTTTGTAATGGTACATCCTGCTCACCTGGCCCAACACTTCTGCCCACTTCGTCCCTTTTGATGCGGCGGATGGGCTACTCGTGGTCGTATTGAAGCTATGTCTATTGATCTTAACGGCATATCTTTGCGCCCATGCCTGCTTGGAAAGGGCAATAGGTGGTGCCGGACGAGCAATTCCGCGTTCAATCGTAGGAACGTTCGCTTGAAGTGCGCGTCTCACGAGAGATTGAGGAGTGTTCGGCGTAGCATCGAACTCGGCTTCCGGATCAACCGGAGTGCTGTATATCGGTAATGTTGAAGAGTGTCGGATGGAAGCCTGCCCTCGTCCAACGCGTGGTGGGGTATGAGGCGGAGATTGAGGGATGGTATTTGTGCGAGCGGAAGCTGTCGAGCGGCGAGTAACCTTCGGCGAACGATCCGGACTGTCATGCTGAGCTTCGGGTCTCCGCCGTTTCTGGGGCGAGTTGGGTGGTTGTTTCTTTGGGGTCATCTTGAGGACTCAAAAACGGTGGACCAACCTGGAGGGGGGATGATGCGCAGAGAGTTAAATATGTGAGTAAGAGTCATATCTCATAGCTGCAGGAACAGAGATCCCGCCCACAGCGCCACGCGTTCAAGTGGTGGCGCCCATAGAAACCCCTGACCTGTACATGCAAAGCACTAGAGAAAGGTTGTGTGTGTGGTGGAGGAATTCATTGGTACGTTAACAATATCCACATCCGGACTTCCAGAGCCTGCGACGGATACTTGCTTTTCGTAGGGTCGCAGCACATATCGAAGAGACGGGAGCAACTGGCCCTCTACGCTAAGCCTCGGGCCGCATCACTTCTCGGTATCGGGGACGGCCGACGGAAGAGCGATTGCGTAGAAGGATCAAGTACCCTTGCTTGAACGCTCGCTGTAGGCTAGTAATTGGTAAGCTGGGGCCCTTGTCTTCCCAGAAATAGTCCTTCGCGATATGGTATCGCAAGTATGTCATTGACACTGGATAGTGAGGGTGAAGACGAGCGTGTCCAACGACAGATAGGCGGACTGCGATGGATTACCATGTGACGAAATGTCCAATCTGGCGGTGTGGGGTCGTTGCGGCGTAGCGGTAGTTTTGGGGCTGAGGCAGTGGCTCAAATCACACATGAGAGACCTCCTGCATCCTGGTTGTGTTCGGCAGCCCTGTCGCCCAAGTCTAGACGTTGGAAGATGCGACGCGATGGGAGCAGGTGGGGCTGTGCCTGCCAAGGTCAGGCTCGCTCGCTCGTGGAACTACCGACTGAAAGGTAGTAAAGTTGATGTGATTCAAAGAAACAGCCTATCGCAACCCTCCAAAAATATTGTTGAGTCTTGCGGTGAGGTCACATACTCCCATAAACAGTGCGGTATACTCTGCCGAGGGTCAAGTCGAGCTGAAAGACCCCTCGCTTCATCCCGATCTTTCTGCCTTCTTGCCTTCTGATCATGGCTGCCTAGATGTGAGTTATCAGATAATTTTCGCATGCTGTATGCCGTGTGCTACAAACAGCTGATCAGCGTTTACGAAGTTGAAAGTGAAATTGGAAGCCACAGCTTCGCGGCGCCAGTTCCTTATGAAGAAACACCATCTCACGATAGCATTGACCGGCTTCGTGCTGCGTATCCACACGGCGCATTGCAGAGCCTGAGTATCCACCAAGCGGATGGGTAAGAAACCACGTCTTCGAAGGTGGTGAGTGTTGGGGCGGACTGCAGCCGGGCTGTGCGCTGCCGCCTATCGCAGAGTGTTACCTCCTCGCTCAGCCACAAATCGGGAGGCCACCGGTAAGGCGTTCTTTGCATCAACACATGATGCGCGATTTGATCATTGACGTTTGCTTGCAGCACTTGGGTCGTGGCGAGTGAATGTGAGTGACAATGGCAGCCTGGAAGGTGGCGGTGTTTGGGGGAAGGACCTGGGCAGCGGCGCTCCCCTGAGGTAGCCGAAGCCGGAGTAGCGCGTCTCCCTGTTGGAAGCGACGCCCAGTGACTCCCAGCATCAACTGCACCTGCACTACATGTCAAATAGCTAAGATACATCCGCGCACTTAATGGCTATTCGCATGCCTTGGAAGCGTCAGACCTTTCTTTCGACACATCTTGGCGCAATTGATGTACTATGCATTCATTCTCTCAATTGTTCTATGTAGATACAGCCGTCGCAATTACCACCATCTCACACGAAGCAGCCAAGCCCATATGCGACCGCGAAGGCTCAAACGACAATCTCAGTGGAAGACATCAGCCCTTCTCTTACTCAATTGTTCTGCCAAGATGAATAGCATATGCGATTTACGGCATTTCCATAGTCATCCATAATCACCACAACCACGCCCAACCTACCTGACTTCAAGCTCGGCACGCAAACATAGTTTCTGCCTTCGGGAGGACGCATCGTCTCATCCGTCATGACAGTATCGCTCGAGTCTGACAGATCTCCATCTTGCATGTTCCCATCCGGCAGCCTCCCGATCAAGTCTTCTTCATCCATGTCTTCTTTAAACATGTCTTTCTCACGCCTGTCCTCCACGTCGATCATTTCTTCGTCAGACTCTTCTTCCATCCCCTCATCGCTCACATCTTCCTCATCCAACCACCTCAAGTCATACCCATTCGCTTCAGCCTTCTTCGCCGTCGGCGTCGTCGGACGAGGTCGCAAATCATAAGACCTCCGCACTCGATCGCTATACTCCTCAACATCAGTATCAGACTCAGTACCAGAATCGTACTCCGCATCCTCATCCACCCTCTTCCGCTTCTCTCCAGTCCGGCTGAAGTCATGGTTGCTGATCGTACGAAGCAGTTTGATCCACTGTCTTACATCGCGATACCGTCTAGCAGTGGTGCCCTTGGTGTCACGTGTATGTACTGCTCCCGTCTGGCACCAGTACCCCGTCGCGAGGGTTCTGCAATCCGCTTCCCCAAGACCGAGCGATTGGATTACCCGAATAGCCAGATCTTGATAGCTAGTAGATTTCCGCGGTTGAAGGCAAAGCAGTGCGACTGTAGCCGGAATGAAAAGCTCACCAAACAGAAGGCCCAGTATTTTAGCTGTCTCGATATTTCCGTCCGAGACGTCGACTGGAGTGGAGCCGAACACCTTCTTCCGTAGGTTATGTCCAAAGTCAACAGCCTTATCCTTGTTCAGCCTCGAACGTCGAACCTGGGGACATAACCCGTACAGCCCACCGAGAATTAGTTGTTCGAACGGCACCGCAGTATAACCGCGACCTCGTATGCATCCATGCGCCAAGTACTCGACGTCGCCTATCTTGTCGTCTAGAACATCAGACAGCCAGAAGATAAGAACCTCGCCGTCTAATCTTTCGCGGTCGAGCATTGCGATGTGGATATTGGGTTTCGGAACTGCGTGTCGAGCGAGAAAGATGACTGCGTGCAGAGACGCTGCCCAGGAACTGAATTCTGTAAGAACATCGCGCAAGCCAAGGTAGTGTGAATGCACCATCCTGTAGACTTCTGCCTCCGTCCTGGTGTAGAGACTAGGCACTTTCCTGCCATTCATGAATCCCCTCGGCACCACCTCCGTGGCGTTATTGATGGTTACCTCTGAGCCACCGCCGCTCTGTGAAGTGAACATCCGGAAAAGATATCGCGGGACATTGTTGTTTCGTATATCTACACCCGTTAGTCGTTCAACAAGTACAGCGGGTGGTTATAGACTTACGTTCCCAGTGGGCCTTTCGCTGACCAAGCGTCTCGCTACTCTCCTTCTGCAAAGGCATTGGTAACCCCTGTCACCTTCCTACTTTCTTCTGGTGCCCTTTCCACGACTTCATAGTTATATATGATCTTCTTCCGGCAGATTCTGAGTCTATGTCTTACACTATCTGGAACGCGTCCCCGATTACTCCCTTTATGGAAGAATGGCAGCCGCATGGTTTCCAAAGCAGTGTTTAGAACCAAGACATCAAGACAACACATTAATCAAGTCATATAGAGTCGTGACTACATCTTTTGTGGGACATATCGCCCAAGCTGGACGGTGCGAGACGTAACTTGTTCAACCTTCACAAAAAGATCCCTAGGAGTTGAAAGATAATCATTCATATTTCATTTCATCAAGATAGCAAATATACACACGAATCACCCAATCCATCCCAACCCATCCGATCCATTCGCCCTGGATTAAAAAACGCCATGAAAAAAGCCTTCCTCATACGAAGAAGCTCAGTTGTCATCCCGTCATACTTGCATTCCAGCATGCATCCAAACAATGGGGTATTAACCAAAAAAGCACCACCACCATCATCTTCTTTCATGCCTTCCTCACCACCCCACTCATTACATCAATATCCAGACGGACCCACCAACGAACAAAACAAACATGAGGATAGTGAGAATGGCCGCGCCCGCTTTATCCGCAGTGCTAATCTCGGATTGGAACTTGGGTAATCGGTCGGCATCGTTTCCAGAGCCTAGCCCAGGGTTACCCTCGGAAGTACCACCGGTATCGCGCGAGTACGGCGGCGGCACCCTCTGCGCATTCAACACACTGATTACGTTGAGGGCCGTCATCTGCGGTCCCACACCTTTGATGTTGTCCCAGCCCTGCTTCCACCAACTCATACCGCACTGGTGGTTGCCGCCGCCATGGTCAGACGGACCCTCGCACGTTTGCGCAGCGGCTACAGCGGATTTTTGCAGCTTGGGCATGATCTGGGGCGTGAATTCGGGGGCCATTTGCATGGTGATGCCGAGCCAGCGGGCGAGGTACGCTTTGAAGGACTCCTGATCCGCGTCGCAGACTATGTTTGCTTCGCAGATTTCGACCATGACGCCGCCTTTGTCTTCGGGGAAGAAGATGGCGACTTTGTTGATGAATTTGGTGAGTTCATTGCGCCACTTGTCGGCGCCGTTGGTGTAGTTGTACATCTGCGAACATGGTTAGTAATCGAATCTGTGGCGTAGTAACATTCCTCTTACGTATGCTGCTCCTGCAATCATGATTCCGTAGTTGTAGGTCCAGGGCGTTTGATCGGCGTCGCTGCACGGAGGGTTCGTGCTGATACTGGTTCCGTCGTAGACTTGACCGTCGCCGGGCAGAATAGGACTATTCGCCATCCAGTCGAATGCCTTCTCCGCCCACTTGGCGTATGTGTCGTTCTTTGTGTACATGGCCAATCGCGCGCCGAGATGGAAAAGTCCTCCGTTGGATGCGGTGTTTTTATACGTCCACCCATTAAGCCACGGATAGATCTGCCAGCGCATGCCTCCGCCGCAAGTACCGTCAGACACCTCCTTCTGGTAGCGGCCGACGAATTGGTTGAAGACGGACTGTGTCATGGCGAGCCAACCGGGCTGGTCTGGGGGAGGGTCTTTGAGTTTGTATTCGGCGGCAGCGATCATGGAAAAGGCCCAGAAGACTTGGTCGTCGTTTCCTTCGTTCTTGGACTGGTTGGAGGGCATCTACAAGGCTTAGCGACAGATCTTAGTGATGGCGCATGGATATACGTACCAGGTCAAGATGCTCTCCGAATTGGTGTATCAGTCCCTCGCGGACCATTTCATTGTACTGATCGTCGCCGGTGTAGTGCCAGTAGTCGAGGAGGGTACCGAACATGGCACCCGCCTGCCACCAGTAGTAGGGTTCGTAGAGGATACCCGGGTAACCACCGAGTACATGGATGCCCTTATCGTCGATGGTCGCATATTGCGCAACGAGCTGTTTGGCGACTTGGGAAGAGACATCGTTGATAGAGGCTGTAAGGTGAGGTTAGCAGACTGTATAAGCGCACAGCATGTATGCGACGGCGACGGGTATCCTACTCTCTGAATTGGGGTCGAGCACGATGGCCTGGGTGAAGGGTCGCACAACATCTGTCGACAGCAGAGAGAGCGCCGCTAGCGCTCGCGCAGGGCTGAACAACCTCATCTCGACATGTGCTTTGCGCCTAAAACAATGCTAACGAATGGCTACCCCGCAAGTGCGTGAGACCAAGTGGGGAGGGAGCGAGATCAAGCAAGATCAAGCAAACAAGCAGCGTGGTGAGGTTGACCGGGGAGGAGGAGGCAGGTACCGAAGAAGGTTGTGGCAGCGGAGGAACGGCGACAGAAAAGCGAGTGTAGTGGTAAACAGGCCCCCAGCGTTTGATGACGGACGTGACAAAGAGAGGCGGGAGCGATCGTCGTGTAGCGGAATGGCGGCAGCAACTTTAACACGGGCCTGATGGCTCCATACGCTACCCTGGCAATTCCAAGGTCGCATTCGCCGCTCGTTAGCAAATCATCAGGAAGCGGGTCCTCGGGAACGCCAGCTGCATGGAGGCTTGTCAACAGGTCAACTTGCTCTTCACAGTGCGAGCGCTGGTACAGACTGCTTAGGCTCGTTGCACACAACAACGTAGACAGCGATAGCTTCCACCACCGCCCCTCCTCCTCCCCTCCGCCTCCCCCACCCACCCTCGCGATCGTCGAGGCAATAGCGGGCAGCGGAATGGCGGCACTGGCAAGGTAACTTTGATGGATTAACACGGGCCTGTGCCCCCATAGGCTACCCTGGCAATCCCATGGTCGTATTCGCCGCCTGCATCTAATCATCATGCAGCTGGCGTTCCCTCTAAGCCGAGGAAAGGCAGGTCAAGTTGTAATTCACAGCGCAAGCGCCGGTGCGAACGACGCCACACCACCACGAACGCCATAAACAGTCAACCGATTATGATGCTGTCCTGTCTGCGTGTATCTTGCGCAACGCAGCAGCAGGGCCCGGTATCCGCGTTGAAACCTCTGGGACTCAATTCCGCATGCCTGCGCCCCACCTGCAGGGAATGTTTGTGGCGCAGGCGCCTGACTTTGCGCTGTTTGGCCTGACTTCACCGTTTGTTTTGTTCCGTTCCGTTTCGTTTCTCACGTGGTGAACCGATCAACATTGCGGCTGGTGAACCTGATCTCCAAAGCTACGACGTCAACGAACGAACCTCACACAAGCGTTTCCAAGCAAGCTTACAGGCGTGCTTGAGGCCGAACCCGCCTGCCCAGCTGTCTTGACGGCTCTCTGCCAAGATCTCTGCCAAGCCACTGTCCCGTGCAAATGTGTAGGGATGCCGGAAATTGGCGGTCATGGACCCTATTCTTAGTACACAGGTAGTTAGGCCAGGCCCTAAGACAAGCAAGGCAAGCAAGCAAGGCAAGAAAAAAATGGAACACCAAAGATTCTTGGTCAAGGTCGCGAATATCATGCTTTTAAGCAGCAACAGGGAGACGCGCGTATCGCACGCGTGCTCTTACGAAGCCTTTTCTTGCGTTTACATCCTAAACACACCCCAAGTGCTCTCCTTCTCTACGCCCTTGTTCTGTCCGCCGCACGCCATCTGCAGGCCCATGCCAAGCACCCTCCGTGTATGTTCCGGCGGTATGATTCCATCGTCCCATAGCCTTGCCGACCCGAACGTGGCCTCACTCTCATGCTCGATCCGTGCCTTTAGCGCGGGATCCACTTTCTTGCCCACGGCTTCCATGACGGAGGACAGCTGTTCTGCGCCCATGACCGACGTCTTTGCGTTGGGCCAGGTGAACATAAGTCGTGGGGAGTACGCACGGCCACTGTACTTGTGTTAGCCATGTTGTGTCGAGGAGTGGGACTGGAAGGAGACTTACCACATGCCGTAGTTTCCAGCGCCAGCACTAGATCCGACGACGACTGTGAACTTGGGTACGTCGACACAGCTTACGGCTGTTACGAGCTTTGCGCCGTTCTTTGCGATACCGCCCTTCTCGGCGTCCTGGCCGACCATGAATCCTGAGATGTTTTGGAGGAAGATGAGGGGGATGTGTCGCTTGCCGCATAGCTGGACAAAGTGCGCGCCCTTGAGCGAGCTCTCGCTGAAGAGAATGCCGTTGTTGGCTACGATACCCACGGGGTGACCGTATATCTTCGCAAAACCAGTCACCAGAGTAGAACCGTACAATGGCTTGAACTCGTCGAAAGAAGATCCATCGACGACACGTGCAATGATCTCGTGAATGGGGATTTGACGACGTAGATTGGTACCGACGATGCCTGAAAGCTCCTGGGGGTCGTAGAGAGGCTCCAGGAAAGCAGGCTGCGAAGTAACAGTCTGGTTACGGTGCCAGTTCAAGTTGCCAACACTCCTCCGCGCAAGGACAAGTGCGTGTGCGTCGTCAACTGCGAGGTAGTCTGTAACACCAGAGACCTCGCTGTGAAGCTTGCCTCCACCCAGGTCTTCTGCTGAGACGACCTCGCCGGTCGCTGCCTTGACGAGCGGTGGCCCGGCAAGGAAGATATGACCCTGATTCTCCACGATGATGTTCTCGTCGCTCATGCTAGGCACATACGCACCACCCGCCGTACATGGTCCCATGACAACACTGATCTGCGGGATGCCCATGCCCGACATGCGCGCTTGGTTGTAGAAGATGCGGCCAAAGTGGTTGACATCCGGGAACACATCTGCTTGGTTGGGCAGGTTCGCACCTCCAGAGTCGACGAGGTAGATGCAGGGTAACCGGTTTTCTTGAGCGATCGTCTGGGCTCGCAGATGCTTCTTCACGGTGACGGGGTAGTATGTGCCTCCCTTGACTGTAGCGTCATTGGCGACAACCATGCATTGCACACCGTTGACTGTGCCAATGCCAGTGACGATACCGCCTGCAGGCACATCGTCCTCTCCATACATGTTGTAACCTGCCATCTGGCTCAGTTCGAGGAATGGCGTGCCCGGGTCAATGAGCGCAGATATTCTGTCTCTAACCAGCATCTTGCCGCGCTGTATGTGCTTATCCCGAGCTTTCTGAGGTCCGCCTTGGGCGATCTTTGTGTGCAGGTTGACCAGGTTCTCGGTCGCCTCGTCCATCTGGCGCTTGTTTTCTTTGAAGTCTGCATTGCTCGTATCGACGTTCGTGGGGATCACAGAGACGGCTTCGGCATGGTGGGAATGCGTGAAGGTCGCGGTATTTCGAACTGTCTGGGGTGTGGCCCACGATTGGGTGTGCGATGGTAGCGTAGGACGCGAAGTGGACGAGAGGAGGCAGCGTTGTGTTTGCGATCGAATGACTACTGAGGGTCGTACAGAATGCTTGAGCAAGGTCAAAGCCTCTCTTGAGGGCGCTCTTGGAACCATTTTAGTTGGAGAAGTGAGCACTTGAAAGGCCACAGCTGTTCAAATAGCCCTCTGTGCGTATGTGGGGGGAAGTTGCTTTGCGCGTATTCACGACGCGATATTGAGGGTGTGATGGAATGAGAGACGTCTTGGTAAGTTACAGCTCGATTATGCCGCCTAAAAGAAAGCAGACAAGAGATAGGCAAGAAGTAGCCGGGCTTCCGCTCCAAAAGAAATTGAACTCGTTGTTTGCCGAAGCGCAGTTGAAGCTGGGGTTCGGATGACATCTCAAGACCGCTGTTAGCCGTACCGCGGCTCTGCGGGGAAACCGCGCTAGTCACATCAAGGCAGGTACCAAAACACCTTGACCATGCATCGTGATGCGCAAGACAACATCGTACTTCATCCTTCCAAGTAGACTACAAAGTGTTCAAGATTGTTATCTACAGCTTCTCACTCTCAACCGGCACCTCAACCACCTGATCCAAGCCCTCATACTTCGGAATATCAAGATTATACTTATCCGCCATCTCCGGGCTCAAGAACCTGCCACCAAGGAAATGCCTCCCAGTAAACTTCTTAACCAGCGGTTTCGGTGCAGTCAAGCTGATGAGCGCTGGTGGCATGAAGCCCTTGCCAGGTCCAGAATCCCGAGGCCCGTCCTCGATATCCCACGATGATGGCGCATCGACGGCGAGCACAGGGACGGAAGTCGATGCTAGAGCTTCGATGACTTTGGGGAATGGCTCGCGCACTTCGCCGGAGAAACTGAAGCCGAAGATTGCGTCGACGATGTGGTCGGTTTGCTTGAGTGCGGACGTGAAGTCTTCTGTGAATGGCACCTTGAGGTCTTCGAGTTGTTTCTTGAGGCGCTATGAGGTGTAAGTTTGTGTGAAAGCTTGGTAGTTGGATCGTTGCATACCTGATAGAGCTCATTCTTGCTCTGCTTGGGGTAGTAGATTGTAGGTTGGTAGCCGTAGTGGAAAAGATGACGGGCTGCGACTAATCCATCGCCGCCGTTGTTGCCAGGACCACATGCTACGAGGATGCGCTTGCCTTTGCTGAGGGGTTGTAATTTGAAGACTGAATCGTCAGCTTGACTGAGTGGATTCGATGAAGTACCAACGTACCTGCTTGGGAAACAGAAAGGCCTGCGAGTTCCATTAACTGGTCGATGGAGAATGCGCCCGAGGACATGAGCTCTTGGTCAAGCGCAGCTGCGCTTTTGGCAGAGAGAGTCTGTGAAGTGAGATCAGTCGTCATTACCGAGTCAAATATCTTCGAAGGCTACTCACTCGAAGAGCCATCGTACAGATTTCAAGTCAGAAAGGTCGCGTGGTGTACAAATAAAGATGGTTGTCACAAGATATATTCGTGAACAACATGGTGTTGCCATTACATCACTGCTCGAGGACGATGAGGTGAGCACAACAACGATTGCACATCACCACAGCATAATCAACTTCGACTTCTACATAGCTAAGAGGCACAACTTAGTAGTAATCACACCTCTGCGAAAAACTATTAATTATACACAGTTCATTCTCCAGTTCAAAGTATACCACATCGCACGTGCCCACGCATCATCGGCAAATCCTCGGAGCAAAAAGATATACCCAAACCACCAACCAACCGCCCGCTCCACTCGCGCAGTCGTCGCAACAGCACCACTTCTCCACACAACATCCCACAATGGTCTTAAGAATCCGACTCGCCCGCTTCGGCAAGAAGCACGCTCCCTTTTACAACATCGTCGTAGCACACGCCCGGTACGTCTCCCAATTGCATCCAACAATCCCATCTCGGGAGTCCGCAAACACTGCAATCAGCATATCCTCACAAGCCTACTCCGCCTTCCACCTCCCAAAACGATCGCTCGAACACAATTGTCAAGATTGATTCGCTAATGAATGACCACAGCACAGCGCGCAACTCCCGCCCCCTAGAAGTCCTCGGCACCTACGACCCAAAGCCCCAACCCCCACGACCCGGCGACACCCACGGCCGCCCCTGGAAAGACATCAAACTGGACCTATCGCGCGCGCGGTACTGGGTCGGTGTCGGCGCGCAGCCCTCAGATACGGCGTGGCGGTTGCTGTCCATGGTGGGGATACTGGAGCCGCAGTATAGGGTGGGGAAGATTGCGGGGATGGTGGTGAAGAGCGGGAGTGCGAGTAAGAGTTTGATTCAAGAGGGAGGAGGTGGAGGGGAGCCGCGGGTTGTGGTGGAGAATTTGGAGGGGGGGACGAAGGAGACTGCTTCTGCTGCTTAGGTGCTTATGTGCGCGAGTAGCGTGGGAGGATTGCGTGGATGCGAGGGGGAGGGCAAAATGCGTGGAGAGGGCGAATCGGGAAACTTGTTTGATGGATGGGTACATGAAGATCCATCGAATGGCGTACAAAACATGCCTGGCTGTTGTTGCCGTACGAAGGACCCAATCGAGGCGGTTTCCAGGATCAAATGGGCAAGGAAAGGTGCACGACACAGCAACCAGATATTCGCTCTTTGAGAAGAAAGAACATCAGCCCTGGAAGATCAGCAAAGGCATGATATGGGGAAGCTTACATTGAGGAGGGTTAGTATTTCGATTTCTCCATCATAGACCACGAAAGGCTACGTCCGAAATGTATAACTTGTAACAATACAACAAACATGAACATGCGCCCTTGAACTCTCTAGCAACGCTTCGGAGGACCAACGCAATGACAGGTCGTGGAGAAAATACGTCTTGGGAAAGAGCGGTACGATTACTATTCCGCTCCAGACTACCATAAGGCCACACATATACCTGTACAACCCTCCAGAATACAACAGAAACCGTCGACACCATCATCGACGTGACTCCAACACCAAAGCCACCCCATCCGATCCATCCATCCATCCAGTCTAATAGATAAGCCCCCAAGCAAATAACTCCCGCTAAATGCAACACCATCTCCCCAAACCCAACAAGATCGAAACATCTTCAATGCGCCGCGACCAAAAAGGTATTCGTAATGAGACAAACGACCATAACAACAACACCGTAAATGCTCAAAGCAAGCGCCAAATTACGCAATAGGCCCCTTCTGAAATCACGGTTAAGATGCCCCTCGCTCGTAACATACCCCTCCGCCTCTCCACTCTGGTACTCGTCCTCGTCGTCTTCATCCTTAACGAGACGCTGGTGGTGTGAGGATTCCGGGTCAGAGATCTTGTAATAAAACAACCCCGGCAAAATGAAGGAAATCGTCGTAGAACCCGTGCTTCCAACATACGCCAGTACTTTCTCCAGACTAGAAACGGTCATGGCGGTGATGAAGGAGAGGATGATGAGGACGGTGGAGATGACTGCGAATTTCAGGTCGCTCATCTCGCTGCTCTTGGGCGCGCCGGGCTTGGGCGTGTTGTTCATGAGTGTGTTTCGTGAGGGGCTGCTTTCGCTTTGTTTGCGGCCGCCAGGGCGCCACTTTAGACAAGCGTCGATGCTGGCGCGGCAGGGGTGGATTTGGAGGGGGTAGGAGAACATGACGAGGATGACGATGGCGAGGCGGCCGATGGTGCTGGCGGCGGCGGTGGGGTACATGGATACGATGTTGCCGTGTATGTTGTCGCCGTAGGAGAGGTAGCCTGTGATGCCGGTAAGAATGTACAGTCCGCATGCGCCTCCGATGGAAGCGAAGATGACGGTGGTTGTTTGGAAGTGCGAGTTGTCGGCTATCTCATTCAGGATCGAGAACATGTTCTGGTGGCATGTGTAGGCGAAGACGATGACGGGGAAGGCGGCGAGTGCGGAGACGGGGCCCGCCCATTCGAAGACACGGACGTTGCCGCGGTCGGCTATCGTGTCGCCTTTGAGGAAGTGGGCTACGACGAGTATGACGAGGTAGGCGATCGAGAAGAGGGCGATCACGCTGGTGTACTTGAGCGAGTCTAGGCGGCGGAGGAAGGACAGCGGAATGACGATGAGCCTGGATTGGTTAGTACACACCACTCCGAACTTCATGACCAGCACCTACATGAACGCCGTGATCCAGAACTGCCTGTCGACCAGAAAGGTGATGTCTCCCGCGCCCGGCGCAAATCCTCGAACCACACCCGGCATCAGATCTCCAATGATGATAAGATAGCTGACGGCGACGCCGAAGCACTTGACTGCGATAGCGGCGTCGAAGATGATAGACAGGTTCGGGTATGTCATCTGAGACAGTGTCGCAAAAGATACATGCCCACGGTCAATGTAGCGGGCGCATCGCGTCTGGAGGTAGAGGCCAAAGCCTGCGGTCGTGCCAGCCCATGCGATAACGAAGATGCCGAGGAAGATGCCCATTTTGGAGAGCGCGGAGGGCATGGCGAGGAGGCCGGCACCGAGAACTGTAGACGGTCAGCATGGTCTCGTGTGGGGTAGCTGGCATGGGCATACTGGTGTTGGCCAGGTTAATGACACTGGATATCCATGTTGCCTGGCCCTTGAATCCGACGTCTTGTTTTCCTCTGCCTCTCCTACTTGGGTCAGCTTTCGTCCGATAAGAGATATACGAGGCTATCGTACCGTCGCCCTCTCAGCGACCCGGTGCTCGAAGTCATGGGGTCTGCGTCTGCTGGCTCGGGGCCGATGGCGGAGTAGGAAGCCATGCTCTGGGGTGCGAAATGCGCGGTTCGTGTTATTGCGCGTTCATCCGTCGAGGGTTGGCGGTGGTGCTATCTATGTTGCGATGACGAGCACAGGCAAGCGAATGTGATGACAGAGCTATGGGAGCTCGAGCTGGCAGTGAAAAGCGAGGGTGGGAGTGCTCCGCTGACGTCTGGTCTCGAGGCCCCATAACCCGGGGGCTTATCAGCGGCCGCTAAAATTAACATCCGCTCCGCTCGAGGTACGCGCCCGCGTTTACACGGCTGGGCGAACATAAACATCGAATCCAGCACCACCATGGACGAATACGAGGAGGCGGTTCTGTTCACATTCTCACTGCTGGAATCGCGGTTGGATCGCCTGGAGTATATCCTCGGCGGCCCGCAGGACAACACCAAGGACAAGCAAAAGACCATCCCGGATCGCATACACAGGATCGAGCAGTCACTGCAGCAGCTGGCGGGCAAGACTGCGCTACTCGACGAGGCCAACAACTTACGTACGCAGCCTTTACTTCCCTTTCCCTCGCTGTTTTAGGCTAACGTCACCAGTGAGCAAGCACAAAGATGTCCTCAAGACACAACACGACGACAACGATGACGGTCCTCCCCTCGACAACGCCCAGAAAGCTGTCTTGGTGACCGAACGCGCAACAAGCTTCGCGACAACTGCGTCACAGCTCCAAGCTCTCGAAGACCAGCAGATACCCACCACCGATGGCTTCGCCAAGTTAGCCGTGTTGCGACCGCGCATTGCTGAAGCAGAAGAACGCCAACTACAACAAGCACTCAAGATTTCCGAGCTGCGGAAAAGGAACGGCTTGCTGAATCAGCGGTACCAGCAGGTCATGCTCCTCGGCGCAGGAAGATGCTGGGTCGACTACGACGAGAGGCTTAGGAAGGGCCTGAGAGCGCTTGTGCGGGAGGAATATAGGAGAAGGCCTGCCGAGGAGGAAAAAGGCGTGGCACGCGAAGAAGAAGAGGGCGATGAGAGTGAATCGGAGGAGGACGAGCTGTGAGAACTGTCAGCATCACGCAACACTTCACCGAACCAAGAATGCCACGCTCGGTGCCATCAGTCTCCGCGCAGAAGCACCAATCGCCTGCTGAGACACCGTACGTCCATTACTATTTTCTCAACCATGTTGTGTTGACGGTACGTGGACTTTATGCGTTGCGCAAATACCGACGTCAGACGGTTTTAAGGCGTGGCTGACAGATGCCAGGTGCTTCACGTGTACCTAGGTACCTTGGGCGCGTCGTCACAGCCACAGCCGGTACCCGCGACCGTCATTCTTGTTTTGCACATCTGATAGAGGCTCAGCAGTCTGGGCGGGGCATGTGGACCAGATCATCAGCGAGCATGTGGACCGGTGTCACCATCGTTGCAGCGATCCAGAGTCGCGCATGTTACAAAAGCGACGCGTTGCCTCGGATCAAGCAAGCATCCGAAAGTGACATATTGCAAAACAAACTTCCCGATCATGACGACGGCCATGGGGAATTTGATACGTGGTACAGTAACGTACGTCAATTGACCTTTGCACCCTGACCGGAAACACTTTGCCATGTCACAGGTAGCAGTCGCAGATAGTTCAAACACGAAAAGAGTTTGTAAGCGCCAGCTTTTTCTTGCTGAATGATGTAAAGTGAGGTCAAGTGAGGGTCTCAGCAACTTTGTAGGGCTGCGGAGGGTTCGGTGCCGTAGCACGGCGTTTCATGACCGTCTCGTGTCAGCTTGGTGACCTGGCCCAGGGCCCCGAAGCGTAATGGCGCCGACAATGGTCCGGACGTCAATTTCCTGGCTCGCCTGGGAACTACTGCGCCTAGACACACCTTCTCAGCCGCAAATGGACGCGGCGCACGTGTCGGCTACCATGGGTAATCAAGACAGGTCATGGGGAAACGTGGATGGCATACCTTGACGGCGACGCAGGGTGCACATGAGATTAGCCAGACTTGTGCAGTGGAATTGCAGCTGTCAGACCAGTTGTGTATGACAGCAGCGGTGTAGATTGTCGATTTAATCAAAGTACCACATTTCGGACGGGGATGTCCTGTGTGTGGGAGGGTTCTCGGGGTGTTCTTGAGTGACGAGACGAGGATGCATGATGAGGCGTCGCCATGTATTGGGATCCCTTTGAGCGACGGACCTAGGTAGTACTAGCTGCGCCACGTCTTGGCTTGGCGTATTGAGAGTGAACAAAGTCATGAGGGTGAATGGCCGTGAACAGCTTGACATTGTCGAACACTTTGTCGAGCAACAGGTGGATGAGATACCCCCATAACGCTGTTAACATCAAAACAACGTAGACTTGTCTGTGTACGGCGGCTCGACGGCCACCAAAGGCACTAATGCACTAAACGCGCGTGCAGCTGTCCAGGCCTTTGGCTGACGGGCGCGGTGCCATTTTAATCTCTGCACAAGTGGGACCCGCAGCGCTGCAATCCCCGAACAACCCTTAGCCATTCCAGCCGGCGCGGCCAATCGAGAACTACTGGGAACCCAAGGTGAAACCGTCGCATCTCTCGCTCTGCTCCCGCCCTCGCCCGTAACCCTCCCTCGACACCCACCGCCTGCTGCCATAATCCACCTTCACGCAGCCGCCAGAGTCGCAGAAGCCTTGCGCGCCCACCAACACTGCTGGTCACTGGACGCCCGCCTCCCGCTGCTTGCGCCCTGTGCACCGTTCGCTGCCCTGCACAACTCCACCAACGCGCCGATATACTGGCCCAACGCCCACAACACTCTTTGACTCTCGACATTCACCCATAATACCGCATCTGGCACCCACGCTCTTTCCCGCTCTTCCTGCTCTTCCTGCGCCCGCGACAGCATAGCTTAATCGCCCCTTTCCCCGCCGTTTCCACCAACACATGCCCGCTTACGGCTCGCTGGGCGGCTCTCCTTCACTACGCAAAATGGAAAACGGAGGCTACGGCCAGAGGTCCCAAGGCTTCAGCATGAGCCGCATCATCGGGGATCCCTTTGCGCTGGCCACGATATCGATTGGCATTGTGAGTAGCCCGGAGTACGCGGCAGTCGTGGGATCTGGTCGCTAACGTGGTATACAGCTCGCCTGGGTCATCGCCTTTGTCAGCTCCATAATATCAGCCATCCACGGTGGCTTCCCCAACTTCGCCTGGTGGACGCTTGTCTTCATGTTCTTCTGCATTGCTGGCGTCACCGTCACAGTCGCCTCAGATGCCGAGAGGACGTATCATGTCGCAGTAAGTAGCAGTCACGGCATAACACGCGAATGCACTTGCTAATTCCAGCAGATCGTGGGCTTCCTTGCCGCCGGCCTGGTCTTCACCACCTCATCCGTCAACTCGCTCGTCTACTCGCCCGTCGCTCCCTTTGAAGCCGCGGCTGCCGGCTACATCCTCCTCTCCATGATCGCCGTAAGTCATGCCAGCACACCACCCACCAGTCCCAACTAACAAGCCCAGATCGTGTGGATCTTCTACTACGGCTCGCAACCGCAAGCCAGCCACCGCGCCTTCGTCGACTCCTACGCCCTGCACAAGGAGCACCCCGGCTCGCGCTCCTCCCGCCCCATCTCCAACGGTTACACCAACCGGCCCGAAACCCAAACCGCCAACATCCCGCCGCAAATGTACACATCCGCCCAACTAAACGGGTTCGAAACCTCGTCGCCCGTCTCCGGCTACCCCGGCGGTCCCGTCGGCGCAAACGGCCGCAACAGCTCAGCCCCCCAGTTCGGCGGCATGAACAACAATGTCTCGACTCCCACAAACGACGACGCAAACAACCAGCAAGAAGCTTCCATCGAGTACCCGTACCGCGCCAAGGCTATCTACAGCTACGAAGCCAACCCCGACGATGCGAATGAGATTAGCTTCCAAAAACACGACATCCTCGAAGTCTCGGACGTGAGCGGACGGTGGTGGCAGGCTAAGAAACCAAACGGCGAGACGGGTATCGCGCCCAGCAACTATCTCATCTTGTTATAAGAGAAGAAGAAGAGAAAGGGCGCGGAGAGACTGGTTCTCTTACACCAAACCCTTCTTTACGACCCTGCCACGAATGTTTCCTTGCCTTGTCAACTTTCTACTCTACAACTTCCACGTGCAACTAAGCTACATCTTCCGAAGGGTGCTCGCTTCGACAGCCAACGCGGAGCTGGAAAGGAGAATTTATGTGGGTGTTTCTAGGGCGACGATTGGATATTTGACACCGACACGTGCAACACAGAAAGTTGCGCACACGGGTGTTATAACTGTGGCTACCATACCTTTCTGCACGATACCCAAAGTTTCCCGTTTTTTTGTCTTTTTGTTTTTCAGTTCGCTTCTACATTCAAATCAGAGTAATTCTAAATCTTTTGTTCGGCTTTACTCTCGTTTGAAGCCATTGTGCTGTTTTACCTTCACACTTACAACTTAGCCTTCTTTCCTAGCCTTCTTGTTATGTATTCTATGTACTCAGTCTGTGTTTTGACTTTTCCAGCCTTGAATGCTTAACCTGGGCAATGGGTGTTTTTCGGCATGTGAGCGGGTGATTTTGGTGGTTGTATCTCATGAAATTGAGAGCGGTGGAGGTCAGCGCGAATTAAAGGACAGGCCAACATTTTGATAGTTGGCGGCTGTATGGAGGAGAAGAATGTATAGAAGCAACAACAGAGAGAGAGAAGTAAAGAATGCAAACTCGACTGAATCCATCAAAATGTACGTGCTTTGATTTCTGCGTGAAAGACTATGCCATCAACTCTCCGCGAGTAAAAACGTTTATAGTAAGAGAATGAAGATTGGGTATCTAAACGCCTGTCTAAGGAGGTGCAACCAACGCCTTGTTATATCCAAGTTTCGAAACGCCATATCCGTGCATAAATCTCATCCACGGTCAAGAAGAACCAAGACCCTCTAGCAATAACTCCGTCTCTCGGGATCGGCCACATAAACCTCTAAATAATATACCGCCTCCATCCATCAGGATAAAGACACTTCTTCCCACTATCATCCCGGCCCGTGCGAAAGCGCTCCCATCGCGCATCATACCCAGCGCCGAGAACAAGGATAGTCTCATCGTCGAGCCATCCGATGAGCCCCTTGGTCGGTCGGCCGCCCGGCACACCCGGAATACCTGCACTTAGAGTAGCGGACCTACCGTGTGGACCCCAAGTGGTAGGCTCATCGCCCATCTCGAACTTAGCGGTGGCCGTAGGGTATATATCTGAGAACGCGCGGGGCAGACCAGGGATCTTGGACAAGATACCATACTTGTGCTGCGACGGATCGGCTTGTGAAGAGGCATTCGTTGCGGTTATGAGGTCGTAGATATGGAGGCTGGATTTATCGGATGTCACGGCGAGGGTGGAGCCGTCGGGGGAGAAGGCGAGAGAGAAGACAGCAGCGGGGTCGACGCCTCGGCGGAGCTCTGCTAGTTTCGTGCAGGAGGGGAAGGACCATAGTCGGATGATAGTGCCCTTCTCGCTGGCTGTTGCGATGAGGTCGCCGTTCCTGCTTATGCCGATTGCGCGCAACGGGCTTTCGTGAGCGGGTATGATACTCACATTGCCCGTGTTCAGATCGTAGATCTTGACCTGGCCCGCCGCCCTTCCCGGAAATGCGACGATGCTCGTGCCCAGCTCACACAGCCCAAACGGGTTATTGACCGTCTCGTACTCCGCCGACTTGACCGGCGGCACCTTCATCTTATATATGCATATCGAGTTGAGCAGCGCGACGATCATGTGTGACTGCGACAGGCGCACGCGCTGGACGGGCGTCTTGAACTCGGTCGACGTGGTGAAGCGCTCGGTCTTGTCGTTCCAGATTTGGACCTCGTAGATGATGTCAGTGTCGTTGACGCTCCAGTCGGGGTCCTCAGGAGGTACCTTGTTCTGGGGGTACTTGGGCTGCTTCCCTCCTCCGACTAGGGCGATGTAACTCTTGTTGCCGAGCATCTCTGCGCAGCCGATGCCGCCGCCGACTTCTGTGGACGTGTTAGCGGGATGTGGTCGGTTTGTAGGATATGATGCTACCTCTGGAAATCTTCTCTTCGCATGTTGTAGACGAGAATACTGGAGGTGTTAGCAGGGGCCTTCAAGGTGTATGCGCGCGTCATACCGCGAAACCCGTTCTCCAAGGCTACCGAGAAGTGCGAACAGTCGGCGTTGAAGGATACCGAGAGCACAAAGGGCCCGGCGTCCGAGTCTAGAATTGGCCGGGTGTTCATGCTGGGCGCAGCTAATAGAGCAGATGTTTGTACGGGAGGTTGTTTCAACTGCTCAAGTGGGGCGTCTTGAGTGCAGTGCGGAGGTGGGTGGAGCGCTGTGCTGAGATATCTCGAACGTGAGGTAGCCTACGAACGGCACCGAGAGCGTTATCGCGGTGTATGAGAGTATGCTAGGCCCATTTTCTCAGCAGCGACTGAGACAGGCGAGAGTGAATAGCGGCGAGAGGGTTGGTTGATAGCGATATCGAGGGTCCACGGCTCCTCCAAGAGCTCGGTCACGCCCTCGGGATCCACCTGAGCTCTCCCGGCGCTAGCTGCTTAGAGCAAGCGCGACTTGAGGACCTGATGGATGAGCAACGATGCTTTTGGGCACCATCAGTTTGTTAATGTGACCGGAGAATTACTACCATCTCCCGCGCAGAGCCGCACGTGAGAGACGAGACTTTCCAATCTACCATTTCAAGTTCCAATGTTGAGCTTCGAGAGACCCTGATAAAGTACCCCGCTGAGTACTGCTATCAGGCAGAACAGCGCGCAGCCATTAGAAAAGCACCAACGCGTTCTGCTTGCCAACTAGATATACTTGCAATACAATTCGCGATCAATATCAATCCGCAATCACTCGTGTTGTACATCTTGCCGAAATCAGACGCGCCAGGTGGTCGCGCCAAGAAGGAGACTGCGACCGGGGTGTTTCCCGCTAGCGAGCCCCTTTGCATCGCGCAGGGAGTAGCTGCCAACGTCCCCAAATTTCCACGACGACACCGCTCCAACACCACACCTTAGACATACGCCCCCGTCTCACCCCCAAGCAGTCTCGCCTCATCGCCTGATTGTCTCCATTGCGTGTGCACGCCGCCCATCCACCACACCCATCACATTCACCGCCCCCGAGTTCATCATGTCTTCGGTACGACGCTCCCCAACACCACGTCTCCCTCAGGCCACGATGCCGCCCTACCCACCACCACACCACCTGCCATTGACCACACCCGCTAACAATGTCTCAGGCGCTTAACAAGACGCGCAGAAAGAAGAATGTCAAGAAGGGTATCCAGTTCTGTCTGATGGTCTGTGGTGCCTCTGGTACTGGCCGGACGACCTTTGTCAACACCCTCTGCGGCAAGCAGGTGCTCGGACACAAGGAGGTCGACGACCCAACAACGGCACACGTCGAGGAGGGCGTCAAGATCAAGCCCATCACAGTCGGTACGTCGCCTCGATAAGGGCCAATGGCTATCACCATCGCGTGCGGCTGCTAACACACATTAGAACTCGACGAGGAGGGCACCCGCATCTCGCTCACCATTGTTGACACACCCGGATTCGGAGACCAGATCGACAACGAGGCCAGGTAGGCATCTTCCAGGACTTACCACAACCCGCGCTTACCCTCCACAGCTTCTCAGAGATCGTCGGCTACCTCGAGCGACAGTACGACGGCATTCTCGCAGAGGAATCGCGTATTAAGCGTAACCCCCGATTCCGCGACGACCGTGTACATGTCCTGCTCTACTTCATCACACCCACCGGTCACGGGTATGTATGCCGAGCCCCTCGGCCAGCTTCAGCTAACACGCCGCAGTCTCCGTGAACTCGACATTGAGCTTATGAAGCGCCTCTCACCCCGCTGCAACGTCATTCCCGTCATCGGCAAGGCTGACTCCCTCACACCCGCCGAGCTCGCCGAGTCGAAGAAGCTTGTCATGGAGGACATTGAGCACTACCGCATCCCCGTGTACAACTTCCCCTACGACATCGAGGAGGACGACGAGGACACCGTCGAGGAGAACGCCGAGCTCCGCGGACTGATGCCCTTCGCTATCGTTGGATCCGAGGACATTGTTGAGATCAACGGCCGACGGGTACGGGCACGCCAATACCCCTGGGGTATCGTCGAGGTCGACAACCCCCGCCACTCCGACTTCCTGGCTGTGCGAAGTGCCCTCCTCCACAGCCATCTTGCCGATCTCAAGGAGATTACGCATGACTTCCTATACGAGAACTACCGTACCGAGAAGCTTAGTAAGAGTGTCGAAGGTGGTGCTGCTGCGTAAGTTTTGTCCCCGCTCCACTACAATATAAGTACTAACATCCTGCAGTGACTCGTCGATGAACCCCGAGGATCTTGCCAGCCAGTCAGTGCGCTTGAAGGAGGAGCAACTGCGACGCGAAGAAGAGAAGCTGCGCGAGATCGAAGTCAAGGTCCAGCGCGAGATCAACGAGAAGCGGCAGGAGCTCCTGGCCCGCGAGAGCCAGCTGAAGGAGATCGAGGCCCGCATGAACAGGGAACAGAGCGGCCAACTGCAAGACCACGACGCAGACGAGGCTTAGATGACGCCAACACACCTCGCTTTCAGGATCCGGCTGTTGCATCTCCTGCGGTCTTGGTCAAGCACGGGTAGCGCGCTTGCCACGGGAAACCATCGAGTCGTCAAAAGGTGTATTGATCATCACAGCTGCGGGCGTTTGTAATAGGTGGCTTGTGCAATGCCGACACGGAAGGGACATGGTCGGATGCCGGGCTTCATTTCTTCTTATTTGGGGGCCTTTCCATCTTTTAGCCGACAGTGATAGCTCCCTTGGATCACGTCTGTGGTTACACTGTCCTCGACATGACACTGCTTCTCGTATGTTTTCTTAGCTTTTTCGATACTTATTCCCCCGCCTTTTGGTCCTTCATGTAGGAAGTAGTAATTAACATTCTAATATCACCCCGGTGGTCATAAATGGTGCTTGTTATTCGTGGTTTGCTTGTGTGTGATGATTGGGTATC